TCGGAATGATCAGAGGGTGGGGTACCGCAAATAGACCCTAAGACGGTTTCGGGATTGGGTTTAGGGTTTAGGGTACCTGAAACAGACCTTAAGATGGTTTTTGGTCATTGTTGAGGCCCCTAGGACCCGATGACCATCATATGTCCATGGTTTCCCTTTTTTTCTTTCAAGGGTAGAGTTTGGGCCTTGATGTGTCTTTAAGGATTTGGATTGTTTCAGAGCTTTGGCTTACGCATTTTCGTTGGAAGGGGGTATCGGGCATCATCAACGGTACCTCACTTTGAGAACTTGCGTAGCTGGTTCTTTTGTTGTGGGGACTACCTGAAACGGGTCAACGTTGAATACACTTCTTAGGTTTTTGGACTAGACCCTGATAAGGAACACAAGTGTATCCCAAACAGGAACCAGTGAATGGTCCAGGACATATAGGATTGTGGCACCTTAAGATTACTAGTAACTAGTAGGTTCGGGAACCTGTTTTTAAAGCGCTACGGTACCAAGGCACCATGCTTATACCTCATCCTAGAGTCCAATTCAAAGAAGTCTGACAGAATTTCCTTACTAAGTCCTGAGGGTTCAGTGCGTTGCCGAGTTTGGGCACAGAGAAGCGGACCTCCTGCCTGGTTAAGCCCCAAACTCTAGCAGGATTGTGCTTGTATTGCCAAGTGGTCTGCATAGTCCCCAAACCCTAAACATTTTAACCTAACCGCTCAACCCTAAACCTTGAACCCAGAACCCTGCACCCAATACCCTCAATCGCATTCTTCGGCTGGCAGCAAGTTGTATGGGTTTCACATCTTTGCGTCAATCGGTGGGGATGCGTTGTAGTGCCCCAAATATGCAGCAGTTAGGCAAGACATGCCGCAGCTCTCCGCAAAGGCGGTAGAACCGCTACAACTTGCCGTCAGGCTGCCAAAGTCTAAATACCAAACGCAGTCAGCGCAGCACAAGCAGGCCGACAAAGAAGAGTTCTGCTCGTCAGAACAGTACAAGCAGGCCGACAAAGAAGAGCTCTGCTCATCAGAACAATACAAGCAGGCCGACAAAGAAGAGCTCTGCTCGTCAGAGCAATACAAGCAGGCCGACAAAGAAGAGTTCTGCTCGTCAGAGCAGTACAAGCAGGCCGACAAAGAAAAGCTCTGCTCGTCAGAGCAGTACAAACAGGCCGACAAAGAAGAGCTCTGTTCGTCAGAGCAATACAAGCAGGCCGACAAAGAAGAGTTCTGCTCGTCAGAGCAGTACAAACAGGCCGACAAAGAAGAGCTCTGCTCGTCAGAGCAGTACAAACAGGCCGACAAAGAAGAGCTCTGCTCGTCAGCGCAGTACAAGCAGGCCGACAAAGAA